GAGCACATGTGATGTTCTAAATGTTATACCAGTGAAAAATTAATTATTAATTAAAAATTAATTTAATATTAAAAATATAAAAAATAATAGGAAAACTCTTGATAATAAGAAAGAGTGAAAAATTTCTTAATTCCATGATCTAGTCATGTTTTCTTTTGCCTCACAATGCCAGGGACACTGCTGAGACTAATGAAAACTGCTAAATTGAACAGAGGAAAACATTGGAACATTTGACTTAATCATTAAGCATTGATGATGATGCCAAGTCTGGGGAAAAGTCAGGCTGTAAGAGGCAGAGTTGTACTGCTAAGATAGATAAAGAATGCTTAGGTAAATGCTTAAGAGTAAATACATGGGACTCTTCGGCACGGCCACGGCCCCGGAGGCACAAGGACTTAGCACAGAGAACCAGCCGCTTGGAGCAGAAAAGCAAATGGACTATGTGTTAAACCGCGCCACCAAGCCTGCCCGGAGGGGAAAGGGTGTTGTCCCGCTCGCCCGCTCCTCTCTGCAAAGAAAGATGGCGGCCGCACGGGAGCCTTGTGGACAGCAGGTTTGAGCCGGGGGCGGGGGGCAGCGGGGGCCTCATGGGAAGGGGGGCGTTCTGGGCCGTCCTTCACGCCCGACTGAGGTCACCGGCTGCCCCCCACGAGCGGCTCTCCGGCACGGCCACGGCCCCGGAGGCACAAGGATTTAGCACAGAGAACCAGCCGCTTGGAGCAGAAAAGCAAATGGACTATGTGTTAAACCTCGCCACCAAGCCTGCCTGGAGGGGAAAGGGTGTTGTCCCGCTCGCCCACTCCTCCCTGGAAAGAAAGATGGCGGCCGCACGGGAGCCTTGTGGACAGCAGGTTTGAGCCGGGGGCGGGGGGGGGCAGCGGGGGCCTCATGGGAAGGGGGGCGTTCTGGGCCGTCCTTCACGCCCGACCGAGGTCACCGGCTGCCCCCCACGAGCAGCTCTCCGGCATGGCCACGACTCCAGAGCACAGAAATCAATCTCTTAACTATCTAACTTTTAATAGAAATACTTCCAGGGTTAATAAGTGAAACAGCAGAAATCCAAAACCGCGCAGCCCCTATCGCGGCCGCGAGACATCATTTTACTCTTGAACCAAGCTGTAGAAAGCAAATCATTTCACAATGCTGTTTCAGCATATCTAATTGGGGGGGGGGAGGTCATAAACTCTAAACAATAATTGTGCATCTTCTATCGAAACAATGTATCTAGTCAAAGTAGATAGAGTATTAACTAGAACTCATCTGCCTCACAGGAATTGGGAGGGGTGGGAGGTGGGGTTCTATTGGGGTTCACGGTAAAAAATAAGTATTGGTAATGGGAAATGTGTTTGATACTTACATGACTGAGACCTAAACCCGAAAGCTCTGTAACTTTTCCCACAGTGATTCAATAAAGAAATAAACTATAAAAAAAAGAGTAAATACATGGGGGCTGGAGTGATAGCACAGCAGGTAGGGCGTTTGCCTTGCATGTGGACGACCTGGGTTCAATTTCTCAGCATCCCATATGGTCCCCTGGGCACCACCAGGTGTAATTCCTGAGTGCAGAGCCAGGAGTAACCTCTGTGCATCGCTGGGTGTGACCCAAAAAGCTAAAAAATGAAAAAAAATAAAACCAAAACAAACAAACGAGTAAATACGTGTGCAAAGCAAGTAAGGATAAAAAGAGGCACATTAATATATGTGCTTTATATATATTTATATCTCTATACTTAAAAGGTCATATGTATGCATACTCATAAGCCTAAAATATATTGAGGGCAAAAGAAAAGGGCCAATTCTGGATAGTTTCATTCTCACAAAACAAGAATTTTGGATACATGTTCATTTTTTTGGTCTGATGAGCGTCGGCATCACCACACGCATGAAGGTACCGGCAGAGGAACAAAGGCAAGCGGGTCCCGGGGCTGAGATCTCCAAGCCTGCTCGGATTGGGGCTGAGCATCCTCCACTCAGATCCTCCAAATTACAGTCGGCAGTGGTCACATCCACCAACTGGCCCCCTGGCACCGTGTAATCCCATCAACGGCCAAGACTCAGAGACTACAAAACCCAGCTCCTGGAAGCGCGTGGCCGCGCGACATCTTATTATCTCATTCCTAATTTGGACAAACTGGCAGGCTACCAAATGTAACCTGCCCACACGGCAGAGTCTGGCAATCTCCCCGTGGCGTACCCAATATGCCAAATACCAGTAACAATGATGGGTCTCATTCTTCTAACCCTGAAAGAGCCTTGAATATGGCACTTTTAAATAAAATCTCAGGGCTAGGACGAAGGAGATGTTACTGGGGCCTGCTCGAGGCAATCGACGAACAACAGGATGGTCGTGATCGTGATCGTTCATTTTTTTATTCATCGGTGCCCTTCTGTCTAAGTGCTTAAAATATCTCAGCACATCTTCATTGAATGAGTAGAGAAGAAATTGCTTTCAAAGCATTATAGAAAAATGAGATACTTTCTGATTATAAATAAAAAATAGACAACAGATAATACTAGATATGTCATGGTCTTTGATTTGTGTGAAAGTAGTCCAAGTTTGCATGCAATTACAGTTGTACAATAAAGATTGGGGAGACTAGTTTCTTTCACTGAGTTGAGCCTAGTGAATTCAGGGTCTTTCACTGAGTAAAATCTAGTGAATTCAGGATCTTTTACTCACTGTATTTGGTTATGTGGATAAAAACAAAAAGTCATCACCTACATCTAATAACAATGAGAAGTTTAAAAATGGGTTCTTTAAGTTACTTAACAATTAGAACGAGCTTAACTTGATTAGTAGTGGTGGCCAGTTTGAAATGTCAATGTCCAAAGTCTTTATTTTTTTATTCTTTTATTTTTGGGTCACACTTGAGGATGGACAGGGGTTACTCCTGGCTTTGCACTCAGGAATTATTCCTGACAGTGCTTGGGGGACCATATGGAATGCTGGAAATCGAACCCTGATTGTCCGAATGCAAGGCAAACACCCTACCTGCTGAACTATCACTCCAGCCCCTTTCAAAGTCTTAATGGTAGTAAAATAAGAGACCTCTTAAGATTGAGTCTTTCAGGGAGCCTAAAAGGTCCAGTGTCATCTATTTTACAGAGAACAGCTGGTTTGATTACAAGGCTCCACTTTCCCCACAAAGATCAGTAGGAAATTTCATCATCAATAAAAACAAGAACAAAACCGCTGTTTGTACTTCAGTGCAAGAATGTGTGTTGTTTATGAATGGCCAGCTAGAGCAAAGAATTGTAAGAATTTTTTAGTTGCACTTGTTCAGATGCAGAATCTACTCCTTACTGTTATCTCCTAGAAGGGGAAGAGGGCCTCCAGGCTGATATGGAGGAATTCCACCTGGCTTGTCTCCTGCCTTTTAATGATAATTATCTATGAACTTTTAGTAAGCCAGATGATTCACTTTAACATTCTCTTTGATCTTTATCACTTCTCAGAAGTTTTTGAGAAAACTTGGAGAAACACTTTTCTCAATTTTTTTTTCTTTTTAAAAATCTTACTGACCTCTTTTACTGTTTAGTTTTATTTATTTTTCCTGACTTGCACCTCTTTTTTGCCTCTGAATAGTTATTCAAATAAATTGGGGCTTGCATTATCTTTTGTTGACAAACAATATCACAAAAGTAATAGTTGGAACAGTGCTCATTTGTTTTCCCCAGTTTCTGTGATAGAACTGTAAATGCACATCTCTACAGAGTCATCATCTATTAGACTTCAGTTGAGGTAACCATTACCACTTGGAATGTCATCTAAATGCCTCACTAGAAAGGCTAAAATTTTGCTTGTTTGGAACCAAGCTCAGGTAGATAGTGATTTAAGGTAAAGGTAAAGGTAAAGGCCCTCCCGTTGATCGTCGATTTGCTCGAGCGGGCCCAGTAACATCTCCATTGGAGACTTTGTTGTTACTGTGTTTGGCTTATCGAATATTCTCGGTAGCTTGCCGGGCTCTCCGAGAGGGGCGGAGGAATCGAACTCGGGTCGGCCATGTTGGCCGCTTGTAAGGCGAATGCCCTACCGCTGTGCTATCGCTCCAGCCCAGTGATTTAAGACGCAGCTAAAAGGGAAAAAAGAAGGTGTTTTCTATGACATGGGCTGAGAAAACATTATGCACTTATTATCATTATAAGGACAGATAGTTGCAATCTTTTCCTTTCACATACTTATCAACTTTGTTATTTTGTTTTTTATTTTTTTTATTGAGTGGCCTTGAAATAGACCATCACAAAGCTATTATGATTGGGTTTCAGTCATACAATGTCCCATTGTCAATCCCTCCACCAGTGTACATTTCCCACCACCAATGTCCCCAGGTTCCCTTCCTCCACCCCCTCTCCCCTGCTTGCCTCTCTGACAGACACCTGTGTTCTCTCTCTGTCACTCTGTCTCTGTCTCTCTCTCTGTCTTTCTCTCTTGTGCTCTCTCTCTCTTTCTCTTTCTCTCTCTCTCTTTATGCTTTATGGTTTATAATATAGGTACTATGAGTTCACTGTGTTGGTTCAGGGCATTCAGTATTTTTATTTGGAAGGTACAGTTGGAATAGCTTTTTTCAACTTGGTGGCAGCATTTGGGTGACTGATGGGGACTCTGGAATTATACGGAGGTGTTGGAAGATACCTAAGAAAGCCTGGAGATTTCAGTCACAAAACCCACATACCTGAGTTTGAGGAGATTAATATTGGTAAGATTTGTCCTTAAATGATGAAGTCTGGCTGGGGCCATGGTGGTGATATTGTGTTGTGGGAGTAACTGGCTTCTGGGAGCTCTGTTTGAGTGAGCACTGGGCCAACCCTCCCCCCTCTGAGGTACCTCGTCTCTTCAGCCTTTGCACTATCGAGATTGCATAATAAAATGCTGTGTATATAAATGTAATGTAGATAGAGTGTATGTGGTGATTTCCTCTGAGTAATGTAGCCCACACTTATCTTTCTGCTTTTGTCCTAACTCCATGAGTATTCACACTAATTTTTTCGTTACATTTTAGAATTTGGCTTTTCAAACTTTGTGAAGAGAGTATCTGGGCATCCAAGTACCTGCAAGGTAATGAGAAAATATTTAAAAGGCACATGCTACCCTTTTAGAATTTCATGTGAATGCTAATTTTAGCTACCTTTGAATTTTTTTATTTTTACATTGGAAAATATAACTAAAGATTCGATAGAACAATTTTGTAAAAACAAAATTAAAGTGGGACATTTTTAAAAGCTATGTATGCACGCTTAATGCACTATCCTATTAGTGAAAATTAATCCAACTGTGGAAAGTATAAGAAAGAGAAAGGTGTTACTATAAAAATAGATACTGGCATTTTCTAAATAAGACCTTTCGTATTAGCAGAGAGCTTCATATTTGATAGACTAACTTGGTAATTTATCAATGAAAGCAGTTTGAAGCAAAATGAATATATTTCCTGTGCATTGCCAGCGATAAACATTCGTGATTGATTTTTTTCTATGCTTAGAAAAGATATTTAATTTGGACAGTTGAGGCTATCACGTGCTTTAAAAATATGCCATCTATCATTTTAGTGTTAAGAGCGCCCCCTGGTGTGAAATGTATAATCATATGTTTATGAGAAAATTAGACATTAAAAAAAAAATTTAACTCTTTGTTGGGGGTAGACTTTCAGTGTTACATTGAGTTGTCCAGTATGATGTGTAACTGTTTGAAAACATGCATGTGTATTTCTCATGTCTTTGCCCATGCTTATAGTTAAAAAACTGACCAGTTTGAAAATAGAATATGGAATTATTTTATCTTAAACTTCATTCTAGTGATCAATATCTTACAGTATTTCATAAGTATGAAATTGCATTTTTTATAATATGATTGAAGTCCTCACCGGATCCCCTTGGAGGAGGGCGGGTTGAGTTTCCCTCTCTGCCCCGAGCAGAGCCCCGATAGCTGAAGACCTCCGGGACCCAGCCAAAGCCATGCTGAGACCACTCTCCACATGTTTTGATGAGGAACCAGTAGAGGAACCCAGGTGTGCGGGACCTGGGACTGAGATCTCCAAGCCTGCTCAGTTTGGGACTGGGCTCCTCCACCCAGCTCCCCCACCTTCCAGTACCTAGACAGTTATACCCACTAACTGCCGTATAACTCCATCAACAGCCATCCAGAGACTATAAAACCAAGCTAGCAGAAGCATGACCTCTTATTCTCTAGTTCTCACTCTCAGAGAACCCAGCAAGCTACTGAGAGTATCATACCCGCCTATATGCCTGACAGGAACACCTGTAAAGGTAATTAAAGGCTGCCCCAAAAGCTTCCATCTGTCTCGGAGAGCCCGGAAAGATACCGAGAGTATCTCGCCCGCATGGCAGAACCTTACAAGCTACCCGTGGTATACTCGATATGTCAAAAACAGTAACAATGAATGGTCCTCATTCCCCTGGCCCTGAAAGAGCACCCAATACGTCATCGGGCTACACTTGCATGTGACAGGGACGTTACTGGGCCCGCTCTAGTGAATTGATGAACAACGGGGTGATAGTGATAGTGATGATACAAGTATTTAATAATAATATAAGTGGTAGTTGTAAACATTTTCTTTTTAGTGAACTTGTGGACATTTTTAATAATTAAACCTTACAATTCAGACATTCGTTTGGTTTATAACATATCTATTGTGTGATAAAGCAATCCAGGATTTTCTTATGATTCTGCTGCTCTTCTACAGCTAAAAATTTTAACATATAGACATAATAATTTGTCCATGAATTATAATTCAATTCTCATCTCTCCCTTGAAATTAACTTGTCCTCTTAAATTCTCATTCACAGTTGTCAGCAGAGAATTTTGTAACTATCATTTTTCTTGCATTTAATTTTTAGTCCTTTGGAAATAATTAAACCGTTCTTACAAAGTGAAAATAATTTTCTAGCTACATTTCTCTAAGTTTGATTACTGCAGTTATATGTCTCCCTACTGTCCTTTCACTCCAGACTAAATTCTCATGATGGTTTTGACCATTTCTCAGTGGTTCCGTATTCTAAAAACACCATTATTTTCAGAGAGCTTGGATACTGAGCTGCTTATAATGGGCTGCTTTTGTCTTTATTTTCTTTATAAGCCTCTCATTTAATACTGAAGCCATTCTAGCACCATTTAGTTCTGGGTTATTAAAAAGATAACTTCTAAATATAGAATTTTTAAAAAGTCAGAACAGTCAACCTGCCATTATAAATCACTCTCCACATTCTCAGAGGAACTCACGCCTGAAGGAAACAGCAGAGGAACCCAAATATGCGGGACCTGGGGCTGAGATCTCCAAGCCTGCTTGGATCAGGACTGGGCCTCCTTCACCCAGATCCCCAATCTTCCAGTAGCTAGGCGTTACACCCACCCTCTGCCCCTGGTGCCATGTAATCCAATCAACGGCCAAGATCCACAGGCTATAAAACCAAGCTCCCGACCTCTTATCTAGTTCTCACTCTTGGAGAACTTGGCAGTGTACTGAGAGTATCTTGCCTGCACAGCAGAGTCTGACAAGCCTCGTGGCGTATTCGATATGCCAAAACCCAGTAACAATGTTGGGTCTCATTTCCCTGACCCTGAAAGAGCCTCCAGTGTGACACTTGCTAAAATCACAGGGTTAGGACGAATGGATACTTTACTGGTGCCTGCTTGAGGAAATCGGTGAACAACGGGATGACAGTGATACAGTGATATTTACTAGTATCACTGATATTTACTGACCCTCTCAGAATCTGTCTTTTGTAAAAGGAGACTACTAATGACTATATTATAGATGGTTATTAATGTATACCTCACTTTAATATGTATGTGAGATTTAAATTCAAGATTTTGGACTGAACAACTCATGAGCATTCATCACAGCATTCTGTGAACAAGGTTCTGTATTACTGAGACTGATAAGGATTAAAATAAATTTAGATAATTGAATAAGTCAGGCTTCCAATCAAGATGAAACATAAAGTACGGTCATAACTACAATGCTATATATTTCTTAAGTGTAATTGTTGATTTCTGCTCATTATAGATTGCTATTTGACAGGTCAAATTATTTTCCAATTTATAAACATAATGGAAACTCATTTTTTAAGTGAGGAGATAGATTATTTAAAGTGCTTGTCTTGTCTGAAACAAGAATTACTTTGTCCATTTTTCTATAAAAGTTCTTCCAACAAGGTAGTGGTATGAAAAGCTTCCTTGTTAGTAGAATGGTTGAACTGGCAGCTATAGAAGTAGGGCTCTGGGTAAGTGTGCCTTATGATGTCTTCATATATAATATAAGAGAAGGTAATTACACATTAATTTTCGAATCTGTTGGATGCTCTGACTTGACTTATATATGTGTATTTTTTAACCAGGAACCATTATGCCTGTCTCATGTATTTACACCTATTATCTATACTTATTTGTTGGAAGAGGGGCTATTTGTGTCACACCTGATAGTACTTGGGGCTTATTTTGGTTTTAGTCACAGGGATCACTCCTGGTGGACTTGAGGAAACCTAATGGAGTTCCAGGGATAGAACCAGGTTAGCCATATGTAAGGCAAGGGCCCTACCTTCTGTACTATCACTCTAGGCCCTCCCAAGCATTTCTCTATTATGACTTGATCTGGTAAACCTACCTTTACCATATAACTTCTGCCCCACCTCTACATTTATTCTTTTTGCTTTCCCACAAGAGAGACAGACACATACACAAATGCATACACACAACTTTTGCTGTACTCTTTAAAATGTACCTGTTCAGTATCTGTGAATTCAGTTGCCCTGTAGACCTTCCTACATTTCATTTGAACTTTTAACTGAACCTCGTATCTCTGGGATTATCTGTCCAATAAACTCCACAGTGGGACCAGAGTGATTGTTGTAAGGTATAGTACTAGTGTCAGCATAAAATCATATTATCATGTAGAAGAACCTATGTTTCTTACTTACCTTGTTTTTAAATTGTCTCACTACTGTTGTCCTCACCTTTCATTTCTGTGATTTGAACCACTGAACAAATTCTTTTGTAAGTCTCAGAATGTTTTTTTTTTTAACTCTCTTTGCTTTATTGTGTCATTATGCTGTAACTATACCAGAAATGTCCTTCCAGATGTGATTTGGTGAGTCCTCTTTTCTTTTTCTATGGCAAACCTTCCAAGACTACACTCGCATATCACAAGTAAACACCCTATCTGAATTAAGAATCTTTTGTAAAACCTATCTTATGTTTCTGTAAAGTTCAGTTTAAAGTGGGAGATTTGAAGGCAAGTATCTATTATATTATGCAGTGTATCACAGTGCCATATACATAGAGAATGACAGAGGAGAACTGCATTTATGAAGCCCATAGGAAAAAAGGCTGAATAAAAAGACATCGTGTTAGAATTCTTGTGAAATCTATTTCTGTGTTGGCATTTAAAATTGATACTTCACAATGTCTTCCTCTTCTCAGGGGTTGTTGAACAGAATGATAAGGTAATTATCAGTGGGCTCAAATTCTCTTTTCATTTGCATTGGCTCTTCTAATACTGATACTCATTTCACTACACCAAAATGCCCCATCATGACTGAGATTTCTTGTGGCCACCGCAGTATTCAGTTTTCTCTCCTTTACCTGAGCCCAATATTGGTTTAGGCAAAAATACCCACCCTCCCCCGCTCAAACACCACCCCCACACATACAGCCTCCTTCTCCATTTCTCATTCTCCTTGTTTCTATGGGATTTAATCTGTTAAATCAAGCCACGAATGAACACAGAGAGACAGCTCGGGATAAGACAGTGAGTTTATAGAGGCTCCGTGCTAAGGACCCCAAGTTGAAAGAGAAAGTGACTTGGAGCCCTCTTTGCTGAGAGGATCTTTCTTGGATTCTCTAAGAGTGAGCTATAATACAAAAAAAAGAAGAAAAAAAGTATTTTTCCCAACCTTCATGTGTCCCCCAAAAAGTCTATCAGTATCGCTTGCCTATTTGGTGTGGCTTTCTGTGTTGCCTTCTGTGCACTCCGATTCATCTGGTGGGACTTTATTCCAGCTGATTAGGACCATACAAAGGAAAAACTATTCCTTCTTTCTCTG